CATACTATAGAAACCAACTTGTGGTGTGGTGGTTGGGGCACTACACTCCCACATGGCCGACCACAGTTCAATTCCTGGACCTGGTTGCTGTCTCACTTTCCCTCCTTCTCTCTCTCTCTCTGTCTCTCTCTAGTGAGAGAGACACCTAAAATGATAAAAATAATAATAAAATAAATAATTTTTTAAAGAACAAATCAAGTCCAAGCATAAACAGTTTGACAGTGTGGTTCACCTGATCGACCACTGTGTGCAGATGTGAAGGATAAGCGGACAGGCCCGGCAGCCCCCGGCGGGGCCCTGCTACTGGCCAAACCGCCCTACACAGCAGCCCCGACTCGGCAGCAGCTCTGTAGGCTCACTAGTAACAAATGCACCCATAGCATCTGGCACTACGGTTACAACAAGACTTAAAGATTACTTGGAAGAATACAAATTCCAGGTATAAGTGTTTCTCTTTTTCTAAACACGCCTCATATAGAGTATCTCCGAATGCAGCTACATAAAAGAGAACCCAACCTTGAGGGACTGCTCTGGCTCTATGCAGAATGCTTTCTAAGAACAGCGGGAGCCAATCTAATCTAAATGCCCAAAGAGGCAGCGGGTATTGAAAGTTCCCCCAGATATTTTCACCTGAGGGATGCTTCCCTTTCTAAGGCTGACCAAGTCCTGTTGCCATACTTTTAAATTTAAGGTACAATGTTCCAAGTAAAGGCTGAAAGAGCATTTGGTCAGAGCGCCTTGCCTTTCTGAGGTTCCCTTCTCTGAGGTCAAAGGTCGATGCTCCAGGAGTGGAGACAGAACTCCAACGTGGGAGTACTGAGAAAGGGGAGGGATCAGGCTGACACAGGCTTGACGTCAAGTTTATGTGCCTGGCGTCCGAGTCTGTTTTAGGACATTTTATATTTTGCATTCTGATGTACCTAGGAGTTTGTTAAACAGATCATGCTTGTGATTATTTAGTCCTCATTTTATGCAATTAACCAAATCAACCAAAAAAAAAAGTTGACCACGAAGTCCTGTATTTGTCTTTTTACTACACGTATGAACTCTTCGTGTGACCGAGTACTGCAGTAATCTATTTTAAGGGAGCCTTCTTTCAGAGCTCTTTCAAACTGGTGCAAATGGAAAAGACTTTGTTTTCCTTTAAGCCTAAAGACCAGAACGCCATGCTATACGGGTGCAGCTCAATCCCTGTTAATAGAAAGCAATGTAGGTGTAGACACGTTACCCTTCCAAGTCGCTGTGTCCCAACCTGCTGCCATTGACATTTTTGGAAATGACTGTCGAAGATTTTAAATTGCCCTTGAATCGTCTAACCATGGACATCCAAGGTTGTCTCCCTTCTACCATGTAGAATACTTGGACTTAATTTTCTTCCAGATATAGGGGGGTGCCTGCCTGTTTTTCACTGTTTATTTACTGCTGTTACTATTTGATTCTATGTAGTAAATAAAAAGAACCTGACTTTTAAAAAAAAGTCTGAATTAGATGTACCTTAATGTGAGGGTTCTCCCAAATCCCATGCTCAAGCGTATAGATCAAGTCACCCACCTGCCACCTTCAGTTCCAAGTTGGCCTCTTCGTAGAAACCTCCCTTTTTGAAGAAGCAGGTGTACAGCCCGTCATCGGAAACCCGGACGTTGTGGATGCGCACGGCAGCTGCCCCCTGGGCGCTTGTGGATGCGCACGGCAGCCGCCCCCTTGGTAAGGAGGTCTCTCACCAGCGAGGCCCGCCCTGCGTACTGGGCCATCTGCTCCTCCTTCTGCTCCTGTTGGTCCCGAAAGCTGAACACCACTTCCGAGAACTTGGTGCGGAACCACCGCAGTTCCATAGTCACTGCGCTCATGGGTGGGAACAGGGAGCAGGGCAGCATGGCACTTCCACCCAGCACTGTCACAACAGGGTCCGAGGGGCCCGTGACCGTGAACTCATCTGTGGACACAGACACGGGAGTGAGAAGCTGGTGATACCCAGGCCCAGGGGTAGAGAGCACACAGCATAGGTGGGGAGGCCAGGCAGGCCGGGGGCAGATGCTGGCTGACGGGACCCCACACGACCTGATGGACTGAGCAGTGATGATGCTGACCCTGGTGAGATCTTCTGACCACAGTCATGGGGCCCAAAAATAATGTGTGAGACTCCCTCAGCGACCTGTCCTCCTGGCCCAGGCCCTTCCATGAAGGACTCTAACCCAGAGGTCTCACACTGAGCTTGTACCCACAGGACCTTGTAAAATAGACTGCTGAGCGTCTTCCCCCGAGCTGCTGGCAAGGTGGGCCCAAGAATGTGCATTTCTAAGGGGTTCCCAAGGACGGAGATGCTGTTTGTCCAAGGACCACACTTTGAGAACCATAGCTGTGACCTGGTCTTGCCTCCAGGAGAGTCTGAGAAGTCACCAAAGAGCATACCCGTGGCCTAGGGCAGAACTCTGACTGTGCAGCCACACCCAGGAAATCCACACTCCCACTTCTAAATTCCTTTGTCCATATTTTTCTCCTTCACTGAATTATATGTACACTTAAAACCTAGATCTAGGGACCAGCAGATGACAATATGGTTATGTCACTGGACGCCCATGTAATCAACCATGGTTTGAGTCCTGGACTTGGCAGCTCCAAAAATGCTGGGCACATGTGCGTGTGTCAAAATCCCCAGAGAAGAAGGGAGGAAAAGGGACTGCGGCACTGCCATCTCCCCAGGGGGTGATTTCTCACTTTCTATCTCTCTGGCAAGCACACACGCCCTATAGCAAAAATCTCTTTCTCAAAAATTTTTTAAAAACCTATGTCCAAAGCTGTTTCCATTAAAAACCTGTCTTCCCTGGAGCCAGCAGGTGGCGTGGTGGTTAAGGCACCCACATGGCACCGGGATCCCACATGGTCAACTCCACAGGTTGTGTCCCAGGCACGTGTGCCCAGAATCTCACGAGCAGGATGGAGAAGAGGCTGTGGCGTGGCCATTATCCCTTGGGGATGGCTTCTTACTTTCCCCCTCTCCATCTACTCCAGTGAGCACACGTGCCACAAGGCAGAAATCTGGAAAAGAAGGTGGTGGGGGGCCTGCCTTTTCTCCCATCTCTCACAGGAGCCCCAATCACTGTTTGTAAAAATATATATACATTGGGGGCCAGCAGGTGGCGTGGTGGTTAAGGGCGCTGGACTCCTACATGGCTGACCATGGTTCAAGTGCTGGACCTGGTGACTTGCTTTTCTCACTTTCTCACTTTCTCTCTCACTGTTGCTCCTCTCTCTCTCTCTCTCTTTCCCCGCCCCCCTCCCACCTTCTCCCTCTCTGACAAATTTAAATAAATAAATAATGTTAAATAAAATCTTTTAAAAATAAATTACCCACCCATGCACCCACCACCTTCTGAGTCCTGGTAGACGGACCATAACAGGACTCTTCTGAGAGCTCTGGGCCTCCGGACAGCTCCCTCACACCCTGTGCTCTGTGCACCCGGCCGAGTACCTGGAGGACAGCAGTACACGAGCCTCCCCCCCCCACCTCGTCCTCTCCCCGCCATCACGTGATCCTTTGATCTCATAAGAGCTCATCCATGTCTCTGCTCTGCTCCAAACCCTCCTGTGCCCTGTAGGCCCAACAGTGTTAACTGCCCCCACGACCTCTCTAACCCCAGCTCCGTCTCCCCCGTCTGTCTATCCCAGCCAGCATTTGTTCCCCTCTCTCTGCAGCTCCCCGACACCCCAGCCAGACACAGCCAGGTACAGTGAGGCACCCTGCCAGCTTCGCCCTGGCTGCTCCCCCCTGTGGGAACCCTCTATCCCAGGAGGTCCTCACAGCTCACGCCCCTCTCCTGCAAGTCCCTGTTCCACCCCTGTCTCATTCACCTCCTCCATGACCACTGTGCGTGCCCATCCCCTCCAACACCCCTAGCTGCCCACCTCTGCCTGCCCCACCTCACTCCTCCTCCTCTCTACAGATACAGGCCGTCCTGCTGTGCTGCATTTACTACTTGCTGTCTCCTGCATGAGGACAGGGAATCTGTGTAGTTCATAGAACAGTGCCTGACACGTCGTCAGAACCCCATCGATATTTGGGGAATAGAGTGAATGAATGCATGCTTAGAATGCTAGTACAGCAGGGAAACCAAACCTGGGGAAAAGGTATTCTTGAATTTTTTATATTTGGCTTTTTAAATCATCAGAAAGCTTATCACTGGACAACTGTCAAGATCCCTTCCGCTTACCTTATGGGTTAGTGACCCGTGTGAAGTTCTTAGTTACAGTTAGTCCTACTGAGCACCGTAATCCAGAGCTGGGGACTGACAGAGACCCAGCAGACCACCCAGAGGCTCCCACCCCCGCAGGGAGACACAGAGAGGGATGGGGACACTCACCTACGGCCCCCCCGGGGGGCAGCTGGACCAGGAGAAGCAGGGAGGGGAGAAGGCGGAGCCAGGAGCAGCTGCAGCAGCCCTCCATGCCGCCGTGTGCTGGGAGCTGGGGAGAGACAGGGTCAGGGCAGCCAGGGAGCGAGGGGAGGCAGGAGGCAGGTCAGCGAGCTCTGGGCCTCCACCACGTCAGTCCCTCAGGGGAGCAGAGCATTTCCTACTGCTGGTTGTGGTGGAGGGTGGGGGGTGGGGGCCCCACTACACTGACACCCACAGGGAGCTGACCCAGGCTCCTCCTGGCCCTGTTGGGAAGACTCTGTGGTTCTCAGGATCCACTAGGTTTGTGTGGGAGGAAACTGACCCTCCCCCTCCCACCCAGCTGCAACCTCACCTCAGCTCCATTCTGTCCAGAAAACCGGGTCCTTCCTTCTAAACACCCAGAGCCCAGAGGTGGACACCACTCCTTATCTCTGCATCCTTCACACACACAGGTGACCTCCCCACCCCAGTAGGAGGACCCAGAGGCCGGACCCTCATCGTTAAAGACACACCAGCTCCTACTGCCTTGCTGTCCTATCGCCCACTAACGGTGATACTTGGACCCTCTGAGACAGACCACGACCTCAGGGACACAGTGGTGCCATCACAGGGGCCCAGGCACCTGAACGATTCCTCCCTGAAGGGTGAAATCTTGCCCTCCTTATTTTTCAAGATTTCTGCCACAGAGGTCAGAGAAAAGGCCCCCAACCCACCGGCTGTTTGGAGGGGGATGGGTAACTTAGGGTCCTGCTAGGACAGACTCTGGGGCTCCCTGTGGGGCTCTGTCCGGGCTCGGCCATGCTCAGTGTGACCATGTCGGGCAACTTTCAGGGCCTTTTCTGTCTCTGTTTCCTCATCTGCAAAATAGGGACAGCACCAGCATCTCCCTCCACGCTGCAAGAAGGACATGGGAATTCATATTTGGAGAGTCAGTTCCTAGAACTGGAACAAGGCAGGGTCCTATGATTGCTACAGAAACATTCCTAAAACAAACGAATTAAAGAGCAGCCCTCACTACGGTTGCCCCAGATCCTCTTAGAGCCAGACCATTACCCAGTCCCCCTCCCTCTGCTCAGGCCCGGCCACATCCCCAGCCTC